TCCAGGATGTCCCACACCTACAGAAAATCTGAGTGAAGGCCATTTTACTTTTTTTCCCCTTCTTCAGTTTCTGTAGAGACGTTTTACTGATATTGCATGTAATACTTGGCATAAGATAGCATTCATTATTTTAAGACTGTTCTCAGTTTTGTGAAACGGAATGCTTACCGGCATACAGATCTCTCTCGTCTCTGTAGCAGGAGCTGGGCTGCTAGTTTGGATCTTGTGGTCAAACTGCAATAATTAGAATTGTGTCAAGCAGAGCCAAAGTATATGTAATTCATCAAAACTACTTACGTTATTATACAATAAGAATAGGCATAGTTCCATATACAGCTCAGGCAGTGGCTGGGCTTTAATGATCACTGGAACCTAGTCGTCTTTTTCTCTCCTGGGATGTGCAAATTGCATAGCTTTCCCCAAAACGTTAGAGCTATATGAAGGTCATTCATGCAAAGCAGATCCCAGCTCTGATGGAGCTGTGTTGGTTATAAAGATGACGTAACAGCGGAGGTGACCATGTGATGATACCTCTGTCATTTCCTCTACTCTCCACATCAACCATGCAGCTGTTTTCTATGAAAATAGTGCTAGACCGAGGATGTCATTGCAATTTGGGAGACTTAGGGTATGTGCAAACTATTAAATTATATTTCTATTCTCAATTTCTATGCAGATAATGCAGCACTACAAGGTGAGTTTATGATACAGTAATTGCCTGTTCCCGCAGATTGTAAAATTAGCTAGCAGCATGAAAAAGGACATGTGCCTTAACTCCAAAAAAGGCACTATATATTTTCATCTTAAAATTTTCTATTATTTTTGCCCTTGCTTTTCTTTTTTTTAAAGGAGAAAATCAGGCCTTTTCAAATTTGCAGCATGAGTCACTTTCTTTAGAAAGTAGGGCTTTATGCATTACAAAGGCAAGTCTAACTCCTTTCCTTGCCTGTTCCCATGGTAACTCTTCCAGCCGGTGCCCCTGTGAAGACTGCATTCCAAGTTACACCAAACCCTTCAAATGCTGAACTACTCCGCAGTAACAAAGAATATTTTAAAAGTTTGTGAAACTCTTGAAAGCACAGCAAAGTACTAACACTTGCAAAATGTGAAGCCTTCCAAGACTCCCTTTTATTCAAGGCTATTTGATGTTAGTCCGTAGGAGCTGTTGCAGGATTTAGCTGTGATGATCTCTCACTGCTGTGGTGGCTGTGAACATCACTCAGCTTCTTTGTAAAGGAGACAGAATGTGAGAGTGACCTTGTGGGATTTTTCCAGGCAGTGATGTTGCTGTAGAAACAATGGCAGACTATTCAGCGCTCACCACAGATGCCGCAGACTTCTCACAAAGAGCAACAGCAGAATAGCCCATAACATATTCCAGTTTTCATTTGTTCAGGGCCAGGCTAGGGGAAACCATCTTGGCAAGCCAGAATATTCTCATGAAAGAAAAAAACACCAAGAAGCAAAAATCCAGGTAATGTTGAAAAAGTAGTGAAATTTCCTTATTTTCACCAATTCTTAAGCAGCTTTCTGAAACTGAAGTTCAAAATTGGAACAGTGCTGTTGTATTTTAAAAAAGAAAAAAAAATTGGTATTTAATTGCAGCTTTCACTAAACTTTTTTTAATGCACTGTTCTTCTCTCATCTGTTCTGCTGGTACACCTACCACTTCCTTTCCACAACACAAAGCAGATTGGTTGATTCCCTGTTTAGTCCATAGCCCCCTCTTCCCATTGTGATAAATGACTGAGTCCCAAATAGGATTTCAATCAAAATTAACAATTTTTTAAACGAATAAAGGCAAGCAAACAGCGCTGGGTGCGCCGGGACCTCGCCTGGCCCCCTCTCCCCCGTGAGGAGGCGGCTGGGGGGGGTGCAAGGTAAGAACTATATTAACCTCTCTGTTTTTCTTAGGCTTGTGGTTATACCAGGGTATGTAAGACAGAAGGTCACATTTCATCATGCGGCCCTAGCATTGTTCCATATTAACACGAATCAGATGGACACATTTCACACCATGTACCAAGAGCTTGTAAAATGTAAATAAATCCTGAACGAAGAAATGTTAACCTTCCTCCTCCAGAATTAATATAGTATAATGTTAATTCTATAGATTTTGCTGAAAAGACTCACTGCAATTTAGAGTAGCAGCACTGGGAACTGTCGTAGGATGTTCTATTCCCCCCTGTAAGCAGTAGAAGTAAGGAAGTTGCCTATAAGGAACTTCCCTGCAGATGTGTCTCTTGGCAGTTAATTGGCATTGGCATCTTAGAAAAACTGCAAAGTTCTAATGCTTGCAGGACAAATAATCTCTCTTCATGAAGTTTTTCTGCATGAGCTGCTTTTCTTCAGAGTGGGTAGTACGCTGTCCTCTCTTCACACAAACACCCTGTTTTCAGTGATTTCATTTTTAAAGATGCTTCCTCTTGCATTTGGAGGGAATTGCAGCTGCTTTGATAATACATGGGAAAGGCAAATTTGAGTTCACTTATATAATTACATATGTCTTCTTCCTAGCACACTCACTTTTCTCTACACCCTTGATTTCTGAAGCCCCACGGAAGAATTATTCTCCTTTGTGGAATACAATACCACTGTTGTGTCAGATCCTTGCATTATACCTCTATCCAGGGATAACCAGAAAGAACAAGAGGCGATCACTTTAATCTCTTAAATATTGGCTAATGCAGTATCACATGAACAATCACAGACCAAATGTTGATGGAAGGAAAATAACAGTCTTTGATTTGATCTTGAAATCTTCTGCTTATCGGCAGCCCAAATAAGTAGGAATAACTATTTTTTGATCTGGTCTCTTCTTGTAGTGGCTGGCAACTAGCACCAACATTCTCCACGTGGCTCTGTAGCTGCGAGAAATGGCTATGGAAGATCCTGACAAGAAGACTGAAGTAGTACTGCTGGCCTGTGGGTCCTTCAATCCCATTACCAACATGCATCTGAGGCTATTTGAGCTGGCTAAAGACTACTTTCATGAAACAGGTAAGATGGTAATTTATATCATTCAAAACAGCCTGGTAGCTGGACACTGAAATGTTAAGGTGAGTATTTTGTGAGTATGAATGCTTGTTTGACAGATACTTTTGGAAATACTAATTAGATGTTGAAGCTAGTATGTGTGTATGTATCATACAAAATCACGTAGGCCAAATACATGAGAGAACAGTCTTACATATGTTTTGCTTATTACTAATTTTAATGAGCTAAATCATGAGGTTTATAGTTTTTCTTTATAGAAATACATCTTCCTAATATATCTTACTAAATCTTTAATTGTGCTGCCTTGCACAATTGCAGAAGTATACTGTACTTTTCCACTGGGCTGGCTATCAGAGCTGGCATTGGTGTAACTATTATGGAATAGTTTAAATACAATGCAGTGGAAGTAACATCTGCTCAACCACTTTTCATGTTTTTGTGTGATGTGTTTTTTCCACAGGAAAATACAAAGTAATCAAAGGAATAATTTCACCAGTAGGTGATGCATATAAGAAGAAAGGTCTGATCAGTGCGAATCACCGAGTAACTATGGCAAAACTAGCTACAAAAAACTCGGATTGGGTGGAAGTTGATGATTGGGAAAGCAGCCAGAGTGAGTGGTTGGAAACACTAAAAGTTTTAAGGTATTCTTCAGCCAAACCCTAAAAAGTCTCAAGATCCTATAGAAGGATGAGGAATGGTGTTAGCTCTAACAAGTTAGAATACAGCAGGCTAACCCTGAACCATATGAATAGACTCAGTGAATTCAGAAGTACTATTTATACGAGCATTGTAAATGAAAGATTGCACCATTAGTCCTAAACGTACAAAAAATGAGCCTGTGAACAATTTTTAAGATATGTTGTTTCTTAGGCTTTATTCAATTTTTGAGCTGCAAAGGTATTCATGAGAAGGACAAGAAACTAGACTAGGGGAGACACATGCTACACACAGTTTCCTCATTTGATTCTGATTGTGCTATGCTGCCCGTTGGTGTATTTAAAGGCTGGCATGAGAATTGTCTGAAGGACTATATTTTTTTAAGTTTTATGTTTTTTACTCTTTCAGTCACTGCTGCTTCACTGAGGTTCTTCTTTTTAAAATTAATTTTTATCAAAAAGGAAAAAAACCAACCTTGTAGTTCTTGCTTTGCACTTCAACCATCTTACGACCCAGCTCTCACAAGTCCCGGTTCCAGCAGATCGGTTCTTGGATGGATTGTCTGTGAAAATACTGCAGGAGGAAGTGGTGATAGATTATTTAGCAGGCCATACTCTTCCCTATATTCTTCTACATCTTTAAAATACCTAAAATACATCTGTTTTGCAGGTACCATCATCAAAAGCTTTTCTCTCCTGATCCCACTAATAGTCTGCAGAATGCTATACCTTTAACAAAGCCAGGACGGAAGAGGAAACAGGAACCAAATAGGCATGACCCCGTTAAAAAGAAAAATCAGAGTCCAGATATAAAAAGTTAAGTCTGTTTGCAAATTAAATGCTTGACAATACTTGCTATTTGAAGGGAATTGCCCTGATGAGTAACTTTTTTTTATGTTAGTTCTTGGTTCTGATTTCACTGAGTAAGTTTATTCCCTTAGATCCCACCGCATAAAGCAGTAGGCTTCATAAAAAGGTGACTGTAAGGATAAAATACAGAGGACATGAAAAATACTCCAGATAATAGAAATTTGACCTGAAAAAGGTCTGAGCTTTCTGTTTTACCTACAGAACTTTGCTAAACTATAGTTAACAGCTGAGAATTTTGGATCATGTTATAAGTTGGTGAGGAAAGAAAGGACAGGATTAAGTCCTGAAATTCAAAATGTATCTGGGTACAGGATCATTTTAAATTCTAATTTAAAGCTTCATATAACAGATGTAGCGTGGCTTTGTAATTTTAGGTAGCATTTATTTTGCTTATTGCTTTTAGATCTTGATTTTAATTCTTTAGCTTAACATGTACAATTACATGTATTCAGACAGAATTTGAGTGGCCTTGCATGATAACCATCTTAATCCTTTATATTAGCAGCTCTTGACTTCTTCCCTTGAACCTTTCCAAATTCTACTGTTTAACTTACAGTGTTTTAAAGTAAATGTTTTCAAAGAAAAGACCAACAGCATCAGGCAGGCTTTTTTCATACTGTGTTGACAGATGTTTTACTACATTCCTACCACCTGTGACATTACTGGAAGCTGCAAATCTATAGCGCACTCAATTTTGCTTCCATTACTTTGCGGTGGTTTCTATCCGCATGCTTCTCTACATTCCATATAAAACACCGTATGGAGGAGAGTCCCCTGAAGTCAGGTCACACTGGTTTTTTTTTTTTTTTTGGGTTGTATTTTCTTTCCCTTTACCTAATCCCCCCTGCCTCCTGTCCTGTAAAAGCTGTCTCCTATACTATTACAGTATCCTTTCATACTTAGCTATTCGGGACTTCTTCTCTATGGAATGTCAGATAAAGTTTTAACAGCATTACAGTATCCTTTCATACTTAGCTATTCGGGAATTTTCTCTGTATTTTCTTTTACTTTGATCCTCACAGTGATTGATTCACCCCAAAGCTAAAAGAGCATATTATAGTTTGTTTTCCAGTCCTTTTGGACAAAGGGACTCCCTTTTTTCAGAAAAATCCTGTATGAGGCTACTAATTATAAATTTCATACTCTGAATCTTTTTTGATTTCATTCCATTGTCTCATGTTAACTAAAGATACAGAGAGGTAACCTAGAAATTAAATGTCCCCATCTAGTTTAGCTAAAATCTGGTGGCCTAAAGCAAACTCTGTTTCTCACTTATTTTTCTTTTTAAGGTGTCCCCCAGGTTAAACTGCTTTGTGGAAGTGACATGCTGGAATCTTTTGGGATCCCCAATCTGTGGAAGTTGGAGGACATCACTGAGATTGTGGAAAATCATGGCCTTGTATGCATCAGTAGGGCTGGAAACAGCGTTCAGAAATTCATCTATGAATCTGATATTTTGTGGAGACATAGGAATAACATTCACCTTGTGGAAGAATGGATCACAAATGACATTTCCTCCACCAAGATTAGGAGAGCACTGCGGAGGGGCCAGAGCATTCGTTACCTAGTGCCTGATGTAGTTCAAGCATACATAGAAAAAAATAATCTGTATAGTCCAGAGAGCGAGGACAGGAATGCTGGGGTTGTCTTGGCTCCCTTACAGAAATATGAAAGTGATTCTAAGAACTAACAGGCACTATACAACTCACTTACTTTCTGCTGTGAAAAAAAGCTACTGTTCAGTACAGGAAAGTGTAGGGTTTGGGGTTTTTTTCGTTTTGTTTTTTTTTTTTTTTTTACGTAAATAGCGGGGTAATTCTGTGGTTTCAGTACATATGTAGTTGCTGTTAAGGTCTGGTGGACCTACACAATCTTTTGTAAATCCAACAATAAGATTTTCACATTTAAACATTTTGTCACAGTGTAGTGAACTAAGTATGCACTAAGTATGAACTAAGTATGCACTAAGTTCACACTTGCATATGAGAATTACAAATTAACAAACAAAACAAATGAAAATGTGATTAGTTTCAACTCAGACTGCTCTGACTGCTTTTTATAAAATACTAACAACACCAATATTTTTAATAACTTACAGTGTCTTAACAAAGCCATTTAATTTCAAAATGTACCGCTTACTGATAGTAAGTCCATTTAACTAATATTTTTTTCAAAATTGCCAACATGTGGTGCACCTCAAAGAAATGATTTAGCTCTATCCCCAAAGGATAATTTACTGCTGGCTTTAGTGGTGCTAGATATGCCATGTTTTGAGTTGCCTGCCTTTCAGATATGCAGCCTGTTTGTCTGCCATCATGCAATTTTCTCCCAGAAATGCCTTGTGCTTTACTTTTCCATTCATGTTTCCAGAGCTGTACGTTAAGCTCAGCACCATTTCTCATGGAAGGACAGACCTACTTCAGAAACTGGTTTATAGCCATTGATTTGATGGATAAAAATTAGTAACAGTGTCATTGCACTGATTCTCAGACAGTCGTCCCTTTATTTCAAATAATAAATGAGCTTTTACTTTTGAGCCAAATGTATATAGCCAGAATTGTTTTCTGTAACTGGAGGTGAGAAGAAATGGTAGGATATTAAGACTGTATATAAATGAAATGTTTTTCTTTGCTAGAAATCTGGTTTTGAATCTAACAGTATATTGCCTGTATTATGTGAATATAAACTAGAGAGGCACTGTGAATGTCATGGTGATAGAATTCTACCTCCCTTTATTTGCAGTCATCCCATTTTTGTTTGGATTATGTGCCTTATAAATGTCAAGGTTTCCAAGATGCTACTTAACAGCTTTTTCATACAGTCTCCGTGAGATGACTCTGTTCACATTTTTCAGATCAACAAATCCAGCAGAATGTGAGACTCTCAGGGCAGGAAGCCTAGATATTCTTGGGCAAGTCTAGAACCAGGGACATGTTCCAGGATCATAACTGTGACAACCTGTCATCCTTCCCTGGACAGGGGATCCCCAAAGAGCTGAGGCAGAGGTGTAGGCTTCCCTAGGAGCTTCATGGGAAGTCTGGAAGCCAGAAGTGAAACACAGAACATCACGTGTGACCCTAGGGCCTGCAAGGATCATATGAAACCCAGCAGGGGAGTCAAGGCACTATCAGGAAAACCTGTAACCTGCAGTGGAGCCAGCATTGGGTGTGCAAACTTGGAGCCCCACATGAGTTCTGCAGTTACCATACACTAGAACATCGGTGTTCTACTAGCTCCAGCCTGTAAAGGTGGCCATCTATAGAGAATCTACAAGGAGATTAGCGTAATAAAATCAAGTCACAACTCAGAAGTGCAGTAACAGCACTGTGACAGAAAGTGGCATCAAGGATTCTTAGGTTTTTTTCTCGGTGATTCCTGCATCAAATGTGTTCAGTCTCCCATTTTTTCCCCTAGAGTTCAGGCAAGCTTACACTGTCCTTTGGTAATGAGGCTGAGTTCATTTATCATCAATTGTAATAAACATACTGAAGGATATATTATGCCCCCCGTGACACCTTAGCAATCAAACTGCCATAACTGATTGAAGGTAACTATATTATTGATGGCGCGTAGGAAAGGACAAGATCTTCTTTTCTCTTTTGCTTGCTGTCTGTATTCATGACTGCCAAGAATAGAAGGGAAGATTTATTTTCAGCACTCAAGTCAACCAGTGTGCTTCTGAATAAACAAAGATTTTTCTAATGGGAAAGCACGCTATTTATTGTGGTCACTTTTCAGAGTAAAACTGCACTTTAAGTCTAGGTTTATTCTTCTAAGTAATGATGCTGGTGTGTGTTGGTGCACTTTGTGTAATTCTAGAGAAACTGCAAATTCAGTAGGATGTTTTATAAAGCTTTGGTCTTCAAACAGTTATATTTTACTGGGTTTTAATGTAGTTATGTGTGATGGGTCTTTCAATAAAATAAATTGCATGTAATATGCTAATTTTAGTCATCCTGTCATTAACCAAATCTGAAGTCTGATGACTGCATGATTTTTAAGTAGTTAGAATGATGTCAGTACAGTTTTGTCTATACAAAACAAAACATTGTTCAAAAATTACACTGACTGCTGAATAAGGATCTTTTGTTTTACTAGTGGGATCCAGAAACCTGCCTGTTAACAACACTAGAATTAAGTGCATACTGACAATCTACTGTTCTAATCAGTTACAAATACCTGCATCACAGTCAGTGATGCAGCCTATTCAAAAATGTTAGACAGGTAAGACTTTCAGGAGTGGACTAGATCTAAAAGAGAATCTGTATACTTGAAATCATAAGGTTTGTGACTAATGCAGTGCACTGAACTTATTTATAAAAAGAGTTATAATGCATTCACAGATGTTCTACAAACAAAAATGAGGCTTTTTTTACATCACTGCATTTGGTTCTGCTCTATTAAGAGAACATAAAGGCCCTTACACCACACGTATAATTTAGACTCAAAATAGTTTATAAATACTACAACAGCATCAGGAACCACTTTATCTACTTCTACAATGAGGCCACATACTTGATGGAATGTGTTAGCTGCTCAATGCTGCACACCAGTTAAGATGGAAATGGAAAAGAATTCTTTCCACAAAAAGAAAATTGGGAATTTGTAAGGGAGAAAGAAATGAACCATCATAGGATGTGGCCAAGGCACTCAGCAGTTCTTACAAAAAGTTCCATAGGCAGTTCTTCGGCTGAGCCTTGAAACAGTAACCCTAGTACCCTTTACAAATCTTAATTTGAGATTAAGTACTGATTTACAGAAAGAAGCAGCACATCCCAGACAATTGCAAAATCTTGATTTTCAATTAAAATGTTATATCTAGGCTTTTACACAGGACTTAACTAAGTACTGACTTTTCTTGGAAGAGTCAGTAGTATTGCAACAGTGGTTTACTATCATAACCTTGTAATAACAAATTGTGGGTGAAATGTTACTATTTGAGTCCAGGGGAAACATTAATTTGCATTTCTCTGTCCCATTCCTAGTTTAGTATAGGTTAGAGAACAATATCCATCTGCAAACAGGAAACAAGCTTTGACGTCCTAATTTCCTACTCGCATTATTCTGTGAGTCATATAGGTCAAACTGTCAGCTCCAAAAATGTAGCTAAAGTTCAGGGAAACTTAATCTTCTCTGCAAAGTATTATCTTTTTATTCAGCCTAACCCAAGTCAGTAAATCGATAAATGTAGTAGCTATAAGTCAGTTTCGTCATTCAAGATTCAGAATACCAAATTCCCTTTTCCTTTTTCACTATGGTAGCAACACAGTTAAGATTTCCCTTGCCTATCAATTTTGGGTTTTTCTTTTAATGTGGTCTTCACTGTGGTGCTCATTACTGTCCCATCTGACCACTTAAAATGTGGGATTAAGCTAATGCTCAAAACATAGGTGTGACTTTGGGAATGATTATTTTCTCCATTTTACCAATGAGGAAAATGAGGTACAAAGTTACCTAGCTCTCCTGTACTTAGCAATTGTAGAGTCCCTGGTTGTTCAGGATTATTAAATTCATATTTCTCACTTGGTAAATTGTAACAATAAGGCATACAGTTTGCAAAAAGTAACCACAGATGGAGGAACTGCAAGAGATTAGAGAATTATGTATCTTCTAAAGGAAATAAAATCTCACTCCCAAGTTCCTTACATATCCTTTCTCTTCAGTCAAGCATTCTTTATTCACCTTTCAAAACACATTGCTGAGTCATCACTTAAGAGATAAAGTCCAACACTGAAGCTTACTTGCTGCATCCTGTGCTCTACTCCCTGTATGTTCTGCCACAATGTATAGTATCTAATAAAGCATCAGTGGGAATAACTTCTGCATCATCTCTCTTTTACTGTATGCGTCAAGAATAAAAAGCAAAGGGGGGAGCTACATATTCTATATACACGAGAGTACTTTTTGAATTTGTTATTGGCTATTTTTAGGAGTTGAAAGAGGGTTGCAAGAACAGATATTTGTCCTCTTTCCCATCTAGGAAAAGTTGATAAATACAGAGCTGCAGAACTGGAAACAGAGCTCAGGCCTCTGGATCTGCTGTCTCATATCTAACTGTTACACAAACTTTCTGGCTGGTAAGGCATCTGGGAAAAGAAAGAATTTTATATATGTGTGTTCCTTTCACAAGGATATAAGTAACAGCATTAAAGAAGCCAAAACTCAAATAGGTAAACTGTGGCAAAGTAGAGCTGTGCTGAGAATCACATCAGAGAATAACATACACAAACAAGACTTGGTCTTTCACTTTTCTGTTATAACCACCAGACATTCACTTTTCTGTTATAACCACCAGACAACAATGCTGCCTACTATTCACTCCAGACATAAACCAACAAGACATAATACTTATCCCTATTACTGTGTCATAGGTACTGCCTAAAAATTTGCTGATACAATGATATCCACAGTTTAACAGTCAATCCCTGCCTGTTCAAATATAGCGTGTATTTACAGCGGGTAGATCACCTTTTCAACAAATACGTAGATTTCAGACCATAAAGCCACAGATCTAATATACATGCAGAGAATTTTAGTAATGACAAAAGGTGTCCATGAGTCCCTTTAAAATATACAAAAGGTTTAAACCACTTTTGGGTTTGCATTGTGACTCTTGAGCTATTAACATTTGCTCCACACAAAGATTTCAGAAACGGTGAACTTTTCCCTCCAAGGCAGCTGAAGCTGATCTACAAATACCCTCTCACCTATTGGCTCAGCAACAGCACTCTTCCCCTCCCCTCCATCAGAAAGGCTCTGGGATGCAATCCCACCCACAGCCTTCCTTATATACTGCCTGGTTGGAAAATTACTTCTTCATTTTTGCTTTTTGGTCAGAGGTTGACTGTATCTTCTTTATACAGTCTGGCAATGCCTGTGGATTTCAGTGGAACCTGGAACCTTATCAGCAATGACAACTTTGAAGGTTATATGGTGGCCTTAGGTAGGTGAAAAAACCTGATTCTATCCTTCTTCCCTTCCCCCATATGGATCCTCCTGGATTTTAAGAGTCTGAGTTCTTCTAAAATCTAGATATTGCTGAAGCTTTTTTCCTCTGAAAAACAATGGAAGAATCTTTGTTATTTGATAAACAGAGAACATTAACTACACTTAGCCGGTCACCCAAGTGGCCTTGCAGCTTCCAGGAATTTCTCAGCCCAGTACTTGTTAAAAGTAGAATCTTTGTGTAGCTTTCATCAGAGACAGGGAAGAGTTTGAGCAGCCCTGTCTGCTCAATTTCTCTTGGTTTTGAGCACAAACTTACAGAACCTATGTCTAGGGTTAATTAAATGTTAAGTAACAAAAAATAGTGCTTGGGTATTTGCCACTTTCAGGCAGTTGACTAGCTCAGTGTAATCTATCTTTAAACACCTTACAAAATACTGCTCTTGTTACTGTGACTTGGTAAGTCTCGCTAACTATTTTCTGGAGCACTTGAAGCTAACCTCTTACCTTACTCACATCTTTTAAAGATTAATGGTGCCTGAATGGGGAACTAAGAAAGTCCTTGGTACTTTATTAGCTTTCTTGTATAAAGCTCATTACAGACTGACAGCAGGCAATCTTGTGTGCTGCCTTCTCTTCTCTTTGCCTCTCCCACCCCTTTCTGCCTTTTTGACTTGTGTAAACTGGTGACCAGCAGTGTCCCTTATTGGCTATTGTATACACAACTAGAATGAAATCTGTTTTCTGGATGTATCTATGCTGGGTGACCCACTTAAATTGTCTAGTTGGTATTTTTAACATGGTGAAAGAAATATGTTTCTAACCTTGGTGTGTTATCAGTTAGGAAAAAAACGGAAAGGGTGCTCCCATAATGAGGCCTTATTCCTCCATTTGAATACTAATATATTCTTAATGTGTTAATGTCCTCAAATGGAATAGAGGTTCTGTCTGTTACTTGATAATAAACATTGTCCAGCTAAGTAAAGGAATTTTTTTAATGAAACATAACTACTGATCTTGTGAAAAATGCAATTCGTTTTCAGCATGTAATTGGGGTAACTTACTCAAAAGTAAAGGCAAAGAATCCTGTTGATAATTTACAACCTATCATTAATTACTCCTGCTTGGTTGCCAATATACTGAACAACATGAGGACTGAAATAAATATTGTAGAGCTGGAATGAAAAACTTTTCTACCAGGGTAAGTAGAGTAAGGAGGCTAATATCTGATCAGCTGAGTAACTAGGGGGCTACAGATGAGGACGTGGCTATTCCAAGCCTAGCCTTTCCTTCAAAGTAATACCTACCTCTAAGGAATAGATCTGTAAGTAGCTTGTACTTATATATTCTTAAAACTATGTTAAGGCTTAATAGGTACCGCTGCTGCCAGTACTGAATTCAAACCCCTCTATGCTAAAATAAACTGGTAACCATGTAAAAACACGACAGACAGATTCTAGCACTTCTGTAATGCATACAGTAGTGAAGTTCTACTTCAGACACAGACTGCATAATGAGCCATATGGTTCAACACATGGTCTCTGAACACACCCTGTCAAGAAGTTCACAACCCCAGCCTGCATAAAATGAGAAACTTTTAGTGGTCCTATAAAATGACACTTTTAATCTAGGTGATGAAAACAGCTAAATTGATACACAGCCTCCTGCTTTACCCACCCCCCCTTCCTAAAAACCCAGCTCTGAGCATGCTATTGGGATGCAATGTAATTCAGTTGCCTGCCAAATAGGTGGCCTGTTCCTCTGAAGAAATATTCACTAGAGAAATAGAAAAAAAAACAACTCTGGAAGCAATCCTTTAAGCTCAGTATTACCAAGAACATCAGTATTCTGGTAAAGGTAATTGATCATTATAGATGACCAGGAAATCTTTTGGCAAGTGTGATGTTTTCTAGTTGCACCTAAAGAAGTGTTAATAGTAAGTGGCATGTTCTGAAAACAAGCCTGAACAATTCATTTTAGGACTGCCCTTCAGTTTACTCTATTTAAGGTATAGTGTGCAAAGATTTCTTGTCAATTCACACAATGCCTTTCCTCTGACAAAGCATGAGAACAGGCATTAACTATTCCCTTTAGCTAAGCAGAGGGTAAGTCTGAGACCAAGCTTGTGGTGTCTACGTGGGGGAAACCAAGTCTCCCCAACTCCTCAAAGGACTCTTTGGACTCAAAGTCCTAGAAATCTTGCATAGGAATGGTGCAAAAATTGAATAAACTGTTTCCCAAAGAGTAAAATGTACAAGAACATGACTTGATCTGTGTAATATACAGCTTTAAGCAAGCAAACACACACCACCCCCTTTACATCCCCCCCAAAAAAACCCAAACAACAAAACCTTGCATAACAATAAGGTCAAACTATCTAAGAAATGCTTCTAGTAGTAATAAAGGCAAGTCCTGGCTGTCAAAATGGCTGGTGATAAATACAACTCTGACCTTTTTGCCTCCTGTCCAAGGTATTGACTTTGCAACACGCAAGATAGCAAAAATGCTGAAGCCTCAGAAAGTGATCAAACAAGATGGTGATTCATTTTATATCCATACCACTAGCACATTCAGGGATTATTTGCTTCAGTTCAAAATTGGAGAAGAGTTTGAAGAAGATAATAAAGGCCTGGATAACAGAAAATGCAAGGTAAGACCGACTATATAAAATCAAGAGTCTGTGACAAAATTAAGATGCCATGATCAATATTTGAGCTGAAATTGTTTCAAGAATACTATTTGTAATGCAACACAGAGGTAGGAGCCTGAGTTACAGAGAAGGAATTTCACTTTTGCTTGGGAAGAGTATTTAGGTCCCCTTTTATGCAGGAAAAAAAGGATGTTGTCTATGAGTATATTGTAGAACTGAGACAGACACACAGAAACACTTTTTTGTTTCCTCTTCCACAGAGCCTAGTTACCTGGGAGAATGATAAACTTGTCTGTGTCCAGACTGGTGAGAAGAAGAACAGGGGCTGGACTCACTGGCTTGAAGGAGACGACCTCCATCTGGTATTTACTTCATGTTTCTACTAATTGTGTCTCTATGAGAAAAATAAGGTCTATAATGTGATCACGGTGTGCATTGTCACCTTCTAGCTCTGTAGTATTTGTAACGGATGATACATACGGAGCATGTTCTGCTTTGATTTTAGTTTAGCAGGAACAACTTCATTGTTTCACTGTCTTGTATAGCTAAATTCAGCATGTTAAGCATAACTTATTTGCATGGCAGCAGAGTGGTGGTCAGTAGTCATGGCACAGGATCAATGTTCACTTTTAGAAGAAGTTCCTTTGATTACTATATACATCTATACTCTTGTTTGGGGTTTTTTTGTAGGAGCTTCGTTGTGAGAATCAAGTATGTAAACAGGTCTTCAAGAGAGCTTGAATATGTGTACTGGTTCCTACATGGAGAGACAGCTATATACAGGAGCATCCTTCCTGTCCAGTGATGGCTGTACAGACAAGAACTGATTCCTTGTGCCTATTAAGATAAATGGTCTGATGGTTTCTGGCTCAGGAAATAAGTCTGCTGTTGCCAGTGTTAAAGATCTGATTTTGCTAATAAACACCTAAAACCAAACCTGATGTCTCAATGTGTTTTTGGCAGGGCGGGGGGGACCAAACATAAGTATGCCTTGGGTCTCTAGTTAACCAATAGTCTAAATAAAAAAAAGAAAACCTGCCTACTCTAAAGGGGCATGCCAACATCAAACAAAACGGAGGGGGAACAATGGTAGAGAAGTGAAGATAACAGCAAAGGAAGCAGACAAAAAGGATACAGGTTTGTTATTCAAAATGCTTCTCTTTAAGATGCAGACTAGTAGCTAACTCCACTTGCTTGTATCATAGATGTATAATATAAGGTCCTGTATAGCACCACAACTGCTTTGTTTTCAAAATAATTAACTTCAGCTTACCAGAGGAAACCAGCCTGTGACCAAATCCCAGAACAATGAAGATGGGTCTGAGTAATCCACATAGATTCCTGTCTGCAAAATAATTTAACTCTATAAGCACATATCTAGAGTGAAAACAATGCTTCTTTAGTTAAGATTATTTGCATATATCTGTTCAATTAGGTTCAATGTTTTTCTTTTTGACCTTGTGTAATGTCACATAGAAAAGCAGGTTTTATTCTGCCTTGTGTAAACACATGTAAGTGGTCAGATCAACTTGGTAGTTACATGTGAAATGAATTGCTGCATATTGTTGGTAATACTAACATGCAGGGATCTTATCAGTAGTGGAAAGAGAAAAGAGCTTAGTAACTTAATTACTTTCTATGTGAAAAAAAAAAAATCCCTTGTATTTTAAAACATAAGTGACACCACTTTTCTGATACTATTTCTTCTTGCCAGTTTGGAATTCTTAAAGCTACAGAGGTAGATAAAATGTTTTGAAGCTTGGAGGGCTTTTGGTTAGACTGAATCCCTCAATATAATTACTAGAGGACTAATCCAATTTAAGCTAGTTTCCAAAATATGAAGAATTAGTATTCTTTATACAGTTAGGGAAATTTGGGGGACCAGCAGTAAAATGACTGGTGTTAATTCTATAGATGCTGACAGTGGGTGTCTTCTGGAACTGAGTAGCTTTCTTTTGTTTGAAAACAAAATTACTGTTACCATGTTATTCTAATGTAAATAACAAATTCTTGCATCAAATCTCCCATCACGTCTATCAGCGATATACAGCAAGAGCCACGCTGCCTTCACTACGCCACTAGATGGCACCTCTGGAATATATTGCGTCTTTATTTAAATCGTAGAGGCTCCTAGTGGCAGTATTTTAAGTGTTAAATATTGCAGATACTCTCAAGCCCCACAGCTTTTAAGCTGTACGCTCCAATAAGAAACGCGTGAGAAGCAAAACACAAAGGCAATGATGACCTTAAGAACTCTGTCAGTACAAAGAGAGAATCCAAGTTGAAAGTGGAAAATCGCAAACTTAGAAACCCATATGACTAGAAGCGTAATAATTCGTTAGTAAGGCTGCTATTAGGAAGCTCTTACTGTTAGAGATATAGAAGAGTTATTATCAGTAGTGATATTACTTTTCTTATTGCTACCTTCCTACTTCAAATTGCTGATTTGAAAGCAGGTAATGCAATGCAGAACTCACTTGAGGATGATTTGGAGATCTTGAGCATGAGAGAAGCTACTACAGTGATAAAACTACTTATTCTAATTTAATTTATATGCTAACCAATTCACATGCTTTCACAAAATACAAATGAAACATCTTGAAATGCGAGGTGAAAAAAGAAAGGGAACAGTCACATGTTCTGGAGGTAAGGGAGGAAAAAAAAAGAAGACATTAAGATAGCCTTTGCCAAGAAGATATGCACTTGAACTATAGAACTGAAGGACAAGAACAAAACTCTGCAGAGAAGCACTTGATGGGTTTTATTCAGAGGTGTTTCAGACTACTTCAACTACTTTACACTATTGCTTTGACAGTCAAATTTTTCTAAGTTTTTTTAGTGCAAGTGCTGACCATGTGTATTATAATGATTTTAAGATGCCAGCTGCATGTGCAACTACTTTATAAACAGGTGAACAGAAATGTGTTGCTTTCTGGATTCTACAATCAAAACAGACAATGGAAAACCAAAAGAACAGCCAGGATTCACAGTCTCTCAAACACTTTCTCTAATGATGATATGAAAAAAGAAAGTTATACAGTGATACACAAAAATGTAAGGAGTTGTATCACAGCGTAGTTTGCTATTATTGTTTCTAAATGCTGGTCTTAGTGACAGACTTATACACATTACTTTTAAACTGAGCATGTAACTTTTCCCTGACACCATCAGAAGTACCTTTAAGGTTACTAATTTTTACTCAAAAGCTTTTAAGACATAAATTTGTGCGTAGTCCCCTAATAATTTTCTTGCATACTATTCTGTGCAATGACTATGTAATATGGAATAAAGCAACAGTTCAGCATAAGAACAAACCAGCAACTTGTGCTTTGGATTAAGCCCCAACTCCACTGGGGGGAAAAAAAAAAGGTAACAAAATGAAACATAACCTCAAGGAGATGAAGAAACACAAAATTAACAATTTAAAACTCAAAGGTAACAATTTGCATATGTTCTACAAAAGACTGGCAAGATATATTAAGATCCAATTATTTACAAAAGAATTTGTTTCCCATTCTGGCCACCTTGGTTAAATCATCAAAAACATTGGTTTTATTCAAACACCTTTAAATCAGTACAGAATGGGAAGGAAGATGTATAATGAAACACAAGACCAAATATCGCATCTGCCTCACTTATGCATAAAAAAATCTCATTAATTTTATTTATAAATAAATATTATATTATTAATAATTATGTGCAGTGCTTACGGAAATATGTCTTAATTCTAGCCTTTGTGTATACAGACCAATTTATTCCCATCTTAAGAACATCCTGTTGTCCTCCTTTTATGGGATTCTTTCACTCACTGAGTCAAACTACGCTGCACTGCACGTAGCTGTCTATTAACATCTTAATTATTAGTGTCTGTTCATCACGGGGCAAAAATCTCCTGATACAACTCCCACTTTTTTTTGTCCTCTTCCAAAACACAAACCTCTCAAAATCCTTTTCTTTTTCACCTACAGGTGGTATAACTGACTGAAAAAGCAGAGCTGGAAGTGAACACCCAGTTCACTTAAGGGCACACAGACCCTGGCTGTTTTGTTCTTCAGCTAGAGTTTTGATGGTGAGGGAAAAGAAAAGAGGGAAAGATGAGTATCTTTCACAAATATATAATTTTGAGGTATTATGAAAGAACTAGGTGCAGAAAAGTTTGTGGTTTTACACAAGAAAGGAAAAAAATACTTCATGTTCAAACTACACTCAGAAAGGGCCAAGGGCCAGCGCTCACCGGGGGCTTAGTGTTCTTTTTCCCTTGGCATGTTATGCAGATTGTAATAATTAGACCACAAGCCTGTAGTACCTCGATCATTCGTCACTGAGAAGTGGGCTAACACCTCAAAGGAGCGGAGCAGGTACGGACCCATTAAAACGGGAAGACTTCAGCAGCCTAACCGCATACCCAGGCGGCCATACCTGCGGGCCTGCTCC